TGAGATCTTCATTGGATTTCAAGTAGCCATTATTTTTCCCTGTGTTTTTCCATATGTCTGTACTTCAGCAAACTGCTTAATGGCTTTTCTTGCAGGCTCAGGGTATGTTCAGTGCCTGGTTGTTTCTTGCAAGATCTTTCAAATCCAGCCTCCCAGTATGTGAAGTATTTCAAGAAAAATAAAGAGGAGCTGGCCCAGAAGCTCTACAGGCTGTTTAATAGTACTATCTTTGAGCAGAAGGTTGGTTTCAAAAATTCTAAAATGCTGGTTACTATGTTGCTCCTCACTTTTGATGTGATTGCTCTTTATTCCTCTTCACATTGTAGAAGTTAAGCTTTATAGCAGTGGGTTATGTTTGAATTAGTCCAGGCAATTTCTCCAGAAGGGGTTTGCCCCCACTGTGATGCAGCAGTTTTCAGCTTGGCTTTGCTTTCCCAGCTGTAATGGAAATGCTGCACATAATCTGTGTTCCTTCCTATTGGATGTTCATGTCTGCCTTTCTGGAGCAGGAAGATTCCCATCCTTCAAATAACAGTGTAGGGTGAGCATAAAGCTGCAAGTTGTGTTTCAGATTTAAGGCTCAGTTTCAGAGAACTGTCCTGACCTGGGATCATCATTTGGGATATTGGGGACCCTCCTCTGGTGAGAAATATCCTTGAAAGAAGGGCACTGCCCTCAGTAACTCCAATGGGATTTCCCTCAGGAAGGAAAGTGGTTTTTATGCAGATGAGAAAATAGTCTTGAGTTTACAGGTTTCACATAAAACAGCTGAACAGACTCACTATTCCTGAAGCAGAATATCTTACTGCCCACTGCTTCAGCCCTGTACCTGGAGCTACTTGGAGGTAGAATAGAAGAACTAAGGACTCCTGTCTCACCCTGCATTGTGAAACTCCCATTGTTGGTTACAGAAAAACTGATGGTGGGAATACAAGGCCATGGAGGGGAGTTGGCATCTTGAGTTAAGGTTAAGGGCACCAACAGAGACATCTTGAATTGGCTTTGTACTAAATACAAGGGGAAGCCAGAGGGCCACAAGGTAAGAGGAGAGGGCAGACTACATGCACTGTTTTGTTTTTCAGTTACCAGAGGACATGGAAATAATCTGGAATAAGAAAATGAGGAAAACAGCGGGGTACTGTGTAACGGGGCAGAGGGGAGGCGCTGAGGGGAAGCGCTACGCTCGCATTGAGCTCTCTGAGAAGGTCTGTGACTCTGCAGGTAGGTCAAGAAAGGGTCTGCTGATTCTTCTTTGAGGAAGTAAGTTTTAGAGATAAAAACAAAAATCTGACTAAGAGATCTGGTACTGGAGCCTGCTTCGAAATTTTATATTATGTTGTACAAATTAATAAACACATGTATGGATTTATCCGCATTCCACAGCCCTTCTGAGAGCCTGGGCAAATAATACAAAATGTGAGAACAGAGATGTAGTCACAGTAACTGCACTATGGTTTATATTTCTTAATGATTTGAAGACGTACAGGTTAGGTGTTAGACTCTAATTCTGTGTTACAATGGCAGTCTAAAATCTGACTTCTTCCATCACACCAAGACACCTTGTTGATAGTGTTTAAAGGTGGAATAAAGACAGGGCAGTGCCAAATTATGTTCTGTTATGTGGTACTGTGATTGTTATTTCTCCCTCATCCCCTCCCAGTATGGGAAAATGAATCATAAAATGGTTTGGATTGAAAGGGATCTTAAAAACTATCTTGTACTAATTCCCTGCTGTGGGCAGGGACACCTTCCACTAGAACTAGGTTTCTTCAAGCCCTGCCCATCCTGGCCTTAAACACTTGCAGGAGTGGTGCAGCTTTACTAACCAAACAGAAAAACCCCAAACAGATGAGGTGTGTGGGGGAGTAACTAGGATGCAGAATTGGGGCTGATCAAAAACTGGAAATGCACAAAGTAAAACCTTGGTTTGGAGCATTTTATCTTATCAAGACATTGGTAATTTTAACCTTCAAAATAATACTTTCATCTTAATACAGAGTGAGTGTCGGAGGCCTGAAGCAGTGACCACAGGTGAGTTTGTTCTTCCCCACACACGTTTGTTTGTTTTTGATGTTAGTTTTTGTTTGCTTTCCCCGAGATCGCCTGCGAGACACGCTGATCCACGAGGTTTGCCACGCAGCCACCTGGCTCATCAGCGGCGTGCGGGACGGGCACGGCCGCTTCTGGAGGTTCTATGCCAACAAAGCAGCTGTCATCCATCCTGAGCTGCCAGTGGTGACACGCTGCCACAGCTATGAGATCAATTACAAATACACCTACGAGTGTGGTCGCTGCAAAGCTACGTGAGTAATGTTGTCATCTTGCATGTGACTGCGGATTAACTTTCTAACTTGGCACTCTCCTGTGTCTAGAAATCAGGGTTCTCTGAAATAGTAAAGCAGTTTGGATATTCTGGTGTTTTCCAGAGCCTACAGAACCTCAGTATGTGATTCCACATTTGTGAAACTATCCCAGATAGTTTCAGTTCTAGTTTAGAGGTCAGGACAGGCAGAAACATCATCTGAGGACCAGAGGTGATGAGGGAAGGTCTTTGGGAAGCAGTAAGAGTTACGTACCTAAGCTTTGAAGGAACAAATCCCCATAAAAACTGGGCACAGAATATTTGAGTGATTAAATACTAGATAAAACTACCAGAGGAAGCTTCCAGCTTAAAGTCTTGATGACTTTAAATTATATCTGCACCCTCACAGATGTGAGCAGCACTGTGATGGGAAGGATTGACACTGGGACACAACCTGTAATAATGACACCATTTATGGGGGGTTTTTTACCTCAGGATTGTATGTGTGACTGCCAGAAGTACTGGGAGGAAACACCTCACATACCCCAAAGTGTTTATTAGGACTATGCAATGCAGTGGTTGTTTAGATGCAACAGAGCGTTGAGAAGATTTTTTTTAATGATATCTTTGAGGAGAAACTCCAAGAGGCAGTTCATACATGCATGGGTTGTGGAGGTAGTTGGAAATGTTGTAGCACTTCATACTGGTAGGCTGAGAGAAGAGACAGAGGAAGGAACCAAGCTGAAAGAGCAGTGGAAAAAATACGAGGGTAGAGAAGTGTAGCACAGATTTGATTGTACCACTGTGTAATGTATTGTTCCCTGTTCCAAAATGCTGCCTTAGGCCTGAGCAGAAGAGCAAGGGCCCTTTGCAGCTCCTGGTTGTTGCCTTTCAGGATCGGGCGGCACTCGCGGTCCCTGGACACGGCGCGGTTCGTCTGCGCCTTCTGCGGGGGGCAGCTGGCCCTGAGGCAGCCCCCGGGCAGGGGGGGCACCCCTGCCAGGACACAGCTCACGCCCTTTGCCAAGTATGTCAAGGAAAACTATGCCCTTGCTAAGAGAAAGCAGCATGGGCTGAGTCATGCAGAGGTCATGAAGAAGCTCAGTGCTGATTTTGCTGTGAAAACCAAGCTGGAAGATTCCTTCTGATATCTCAGTATATCTCCTTTCTTGGTGCTACTTACATTTTGTATAGAGTAGTAAAAGTTCTGAGCAGCACTTACACATAGCATGTCTTCAGTGACTCCAGTAAGGGATTTACTGTTTAATCTGGGCAGCTGATATGCTGTAGACTCTGTGTGTGTGCTGAAGAACTGCTCCCTGTGCATCTGGCTGCAAGAAAGTCAATCTGCGAGAGGCAAGAAAGTCCAGGCCCACCAGCCTAAGTCCTCTGATTCTGAATGACTCCAAGGCAGGAAAAGGGGCATACCTGAGTTGGGCTTCAACATGGTTCAGATATTCTCCCATGTAGACTTTCCTGAGAGATCCTTGGCTGTTTTTGTTAAGTGGTAGGTAGATGGTGCCTTAAATCCATTAACAGAATATGTGAATTTCTCCAAAGCCCTTTAACCCTCAGTAAGTAGGGTACCTCTACCCTTGAGATTTCATAGAAACTAAAATAGATGCAGAAGGTCAGGTTGGGGAAAGCAGATTCAAACTTTCCCCAAGGATGATAGGTCTTGTCGTGGCTTAAGTCTCATATAAAATGCAGCAATGTGTGTTATAGTGTTTGTGCCTTCTGTAAGGAAATTGCTCAGGGGCTGAATAATTCTGATAATCAATAAATGCCAGTTTAATACAAACTCTTGCAATAAACCAGGCTACTTTGTTTCAGTTTAATCATGGCTGTGTAGGAATACAGAACCCTGGTAGGAGCCCAGCTCTCCTGGCTGTGGATCAGTACAGTCAGTAACATCCTTTGGTCACTGGGATTACAGTCCAAGGATCCCCATTCCAGGAGGCCCAGGGCTGCTGGCTCAGCTCCCAGGAGCCCATGTGAAGCCTGGGGCCACTGAGGCACCACCCTCCCTTCTCCTGCAATGATGAAGGTAAGGAGCATTGGAACTAGAAACCAACAGCAAGAACAGCACAAAACCACTGACTGTTCCAAAGCTGATTAATTACTATTCACAGCACCTCTAAGGAAAAAGAAAACAGTAGTGAGCAATATACTTCAAGGAAGTTCTGCTATTAGGGGATTTGCCAGTAGAAATGTAGAAAGATTGAAAAGTCAGGTCTGACAAAGCAATGGGGTTAAGGGGATTTCACACCTGACAGCACTTTGCAGCTGCTGAGCAACACTGGCTGTCATGGCAGGGAGTGCCTCTGCCCCAGCTCTGTCACTGCAGTTGTCCCATCCTTTGCTCACATGAGACAGAGCCACACAACAGAACACAGGTGAGGATGTACATGATGGGGGACACTGTGAAATGCCACAGCAAGAGCAGTTAAAGGCATTAATTCAACAACAGCTCTTTCATTCCAGTCTTAGGAAATTTCTGCAGTTAAGTTCAGCATGGAAGAATGTCAGACTAGTATATCCATGAGTTCTCTGCCCAGCACCTCAGCCTTCTTCCCTCTGGGAAGGAACCACAGTCCCCTCACTGAGCCAGCAGAAACTTCATTTTCTAGAGAAGCTCAGTGCTGGGCATACACCAGAATTAGACACAGAATACAGACTGACCAAAAAATGCAGGCACTGGATAGCATTCATTTCATTTTTATTCCCAACAGCTCTAGCTTTGGAATTGTTTATTTGGTTTGACATATGCTCAACACAGATCCTATGTCAAAGATCTTCCAGGTCTGTTCCCAAGCTTCCTTCCCACCTCTTACCTGCCTGGATGAATGACCAGTGATCCAGAACCTTATCAGATATAAGATCATGGTCAACTGAAGCTACTAAGAGAAGGCAGAAGTTGGCAGCATCATATATGACAGCAGAGACACTTTTCCCCTCTAACCCTCCTGTTCCAGGCTCCTGGAATACATGTAAAGCAATAGGACTTCTGTCAAAACATAGAGGGAGAAACAACAGGTTCCCTAGTGTGTGCTCTCCAGAACAGGAGCATTCAGGTGCTGCCCAGCCCCACCACTGAGCCAGAAGTGCAGCAACTGCAGACACAGCAGTGCTTTGCACCAGGCTGGGGCAGGTAAAGTCCTGATCCTGGAGCTCTGCTCTTTGCTGCAAGAGGAGAGGCACAGCCAGTACCTCCACTGAGGCAATGCAGGGCCACCCTTCAGCCTGGAGTAGTTGTTGAAGATTTTATCACATCACTTTCCTGAAGGGTCTGCACTTCCTCCTCACTCCAAAGCAGCGAGTTCCTCCAGCAGCTGCTCCTTCTCCTGCTGCAGCTCCTGCACGCGCTGTTTGTTCTGCTCCAGCCTGTCCTCCAGCCACTGCAGCAGGGGCCCACTGATGGCAGACATTTGGCTGCACAGGTTCTTTGTGAACACTGCAAAGAGCAACATCATGCCAGGACAGCACACAAAAGACTCAGTGTGCTACAACACCACCAAAGGCAGCAGCCAGCCAAGGAAACCCTCCAGCCCATGGCAGACTCACATCTGCACTGGAAGGTCAGAGCCAGCAGCTTCTACCAGGGAAACACCATTTCAGTGTGACCCAGGCAGGGGTGACAGCTCTACAGTGAAAATCTGCACACACCTCATCAGTGATGCTAATTAATTCCTACATTTAGAAGCATCACAGAACATCACATTTCCTAAACATGTGAGAATGGACAATGGGGTGATAAACTTGGAACAGAAGTGGGATTAGGACTGACCCCATCACAGTGGCAAAAGGAAAGATGTCACACCCACAGGTCAGCCAGGCACTGCTTTAACACTCATCAAATCCCAAATCCCCTTTCCTGTTCCAACAGAAAAAATAAACAAACCAAGCCCCAAAACCCCAAAGTCTTCCTTAATTTTAACCACTTCTACAAAGCCTGAAGGATACAACATTCATGATTCACCCAGGATTAGGGTGTTTTACAGCCTTTGAAGTTTTAAGTTCCTAGTTATAATTCTGTTCTTGTGTAACAAGATTCCACCATTTTGCCTCTGGGAGCAGCACCCTGGATTGTCACGTGCAGGAAAGGAATCCTTACCTGAGCCATTATGGATCTTGGTTACAGAGTCGAGATGGGTGAGACTGAGGGAAGGAAAAGAAAGCAGGTTAGAGACAAGGCAGCAGGGAATTGTGAATTAAACACAGGCTGTGAAACAGCTGCCCACAGGTTACACCTAAACCTCTCCACCTGCTGAAGCTCTGTGCATTCACAAGGATAAAAACCCCAAAATTCTGCTGCTAACCCCAGGCTCAGTTCTACAGACTTCAGTAAGTTCTACAGAGGCACGGGAGCTGCTAATCCTTAATTTCTACAGCTTTGCTAAGGCTTTGCTAAATCTTTGCTAAGTCTTAAAGTCTTTGCTAAGACTTTATTACAGCAACAGTAGAACATGTCAGCAAAGGCAGCCTTGGAGAGGGGCAGAGCCCAGGGCTGTTACCTGTGAATTCTCCTGTAGGCATCCTGCTCTTCTTGGCAAAGGATCTTGGGCAGCTCCACAGCTGACTCCAGACACACCTTCCCAATGGTTTCATGGGGCACAACATGAATGGGAATTTCAATCCTGTCATATCTAGAAGGGTATGAGATAGAATTAAAAGCAGCAAACAAAAAAATGACTTCTACAACATTGCAACAGTCTGTCCAGGGTCTGGCAGTGCTGCACATCCACTTTTGGAACACATGCCTGAGCTGACAGGCAAAGGGAAACATTTTATATCCACATACTTGTCTTGATTTTTAATTGTAAGGTGCAAACCTGAGGGCTTGACCTCTAGAGCTGGAAGCAAAAAGGTGGTGCTGCTACAGACCAAATTGCAGCACAAATCCCCACCCTGACCTCAAATCTTACCAGAATTAATTATCTAGGCTAAAAGAATCACTGCTAATCTTCAGATTCTCTTCCAGCAGCCTGCAGAGCAGAAGTGAGGAGAGCCTGTGCAGGCATCTCTGTGCATTTGCTCCTCACAACAGGCTGAGAAGGCACTTACTAGAGACAAGCCAGAGAAAGGGGAGACAAGACAAAATACAATCAGATCTAATATTCTTCTGTACTCACTCTGAGCTCTTCTGGGCCTGAACAGACTGAAAACAGGTGTAGAGAATTCTACCTGTCTGAGAGAGACAGCAGAAAGTCAGATCCCAAAGGCAAAAAAACATCTAAAAGGCAAAGACACATTCCATTAGGAAGCTTTCAATAGAATTCCAGAGGTTTTGCTGTGATTTGCTTGCTGGAGGTGCTTAAGGCATACCTTGATATGATGAAAATGATGAAAAATGATGAAAAATGATGAAAAATCTCTTAAGCAGCAGCTGCCTGGACAGCCTAGAGCTGACTGTCAGCTTATCTCACACGACAGCCACACCTTGTGGAGAGGCTGGAATGGGGGCAGAGCTGTGTGTGCTGGGCTGGACACCTGAGGGAAGAGGCCTGGCCCATTCCAGAGGACATTCTGCTGCTGCAGCCCCTGGGCAGCTCAGAGCCATCATCACTTGTTCTGCCCTTGGAACCACAATCCAAACCACTCCCACTGTGCTTTCCACGTGCTCCCAGCACAGCTCTGCCCTTCTTGCAGGCTGCACCCAAGGACATCAGCTCTGCCCTGATGTTTCTCATGAGCCCCTGGAGGATTTGTTGCCATTTTTAAGTTGCCTACCTTGGTGTTCTTGTCCTCAATGAAGCAGGAAAAGATGAGCCCCACAAAGCCTTGGTCCATCATCTGATACATGGCCTGTGTGCGGACATCTGCAGGACAGAAATGGGAGTGAGAGCTGCCCTGCTCCCCTGCAGCACTGGGAAATGATCTGCCACCTTCTCAAGGGTGACTGGAATTTGGTAACAAATGTCACAAACTCTGTTTACATCCTCACTCTGGGTGACTTCAGTTTAAACACAGAACTTGATCCAATTTAAAATGTAAACAGAAAATCTTAAAAACAGAAGATGAGCTCACAAAACCAAGAAATTATCTCACAGCCAGCTGCTGCCACAGGTCACCATGAGGTCCAACACATATAAGGAACTCAGGTACTTCTGTTAGGAAAGTTTTTAGCTATGCATTAACACTCACAGATACCAGAACCCATCACAGCAGGCCCAGGATCCCCACAGCTGTTTTTGCTATTCCCCACACCCAAGGTGTGGTTTTTCCATCTGCAAGAACAGCAGTACCAGCAGTAGCTGATCTGTGACTCCTGGGCCACCTCTGAGTCCTTGGAGAGCACACACAGCAATGGGGCCACAATGGGGGGGGGCCCTGCAGCTCCCCCAGACAATCAGGGAATGTTTCAGACCCAGAGCTGCTCTTACCCACGTGTGAGGGCCACACAGTGATGTGGGGGTGGGAGTGGTACCAGCCCACCACCCTCATGGGCCGTCCTGTCATCTCTGCCAGCCTGTGTGGGGGTCAAGGAGCCAACCAGAACCAGGAGACAAAGGGAAGGGCTGCATGCACAGGGGAAACAGCAGAGCTTTAAAGGGTATCCTATGAGGCAACAGAATTCCAGATCTGTCACAGACCTATTTTATGATAAATCCTTTTGCTAGGACTTTTTCTTCTGAGAAGCCTCAGGAACAAAATGTAAACAATTATTATCTGTTGCTGTGGAATGCAAGAGGTGCATCTGGGATTGGTCTCATGGGGTTGTTTCTAATTAATAGCCAATCACAGCCAGCTGGCTCAGACTCTCTGGTCAGTCACAAGATTTTATTATCATTCCATGCCTTTCTATTCTTTGCAAGCCTTCTAATGAAATCCTTTCTTCTGTTCTTTTAGTGTAGTTTTAGTATATAATTTTCTTTTAATATAATATATATAATAAAATAATAAATCAGCCTTCTGAACCATGGAGTCAAGCTTCTCATCTCTTCCCTCATCCTGGGATCCCTGTGAACACCACACAGATCCCTCTGGAGGAGGGATAACACAATGCAGGGAGCTGATGGGAGCCTCTTCCCCAGCACCATCAGCAGCCACTGCTGCAGAAGCAAACTGGATTTGGTTTGCATATGGCAATAAACAACATTTCAGCAGCTGTGCAAAGCAGCACCCCGAGTGTGTACAGAGAAGAGGCTCCAGTGCAGCACCTGGAGCTTTGCTGACCTTTCCTCTTGCACTCAGCTGAACTGCCACCCCCTCCACAAACACACTGCAGTTTTACCTGTGACCAAATACAAAACAATGGTAACAAATTTGTAACACAATTCCACTGCAAGTGCTTGAACCAACAAAAACTCCAGGGCAAGGCAACAGCCAGCACAGCCCTCCCAGCTGACAGCTTCAAACCCACTGCAGGCCTAAAACACAGCCCATGAGAAGAGCCCAGAGGTAAAACAAGGCTCTGGCCAGCCTGCGGTGTCTGTGCTGAAGGATATCTCTGCTTCAGTGGAAGCAGCTGAGAGCTGCTCCGGTGAGATCTCCACACGGTCCTTCCTCTTGTCAGAGCGCCGCAGGATGATCACAGAGTGGATGTGGACGATTCTGTTGGTGTCCACCTAAGGACACGGAGGGGAAATCAGAGATTCCTCTGCCACAGAAACATCAACCCGCGGGGCACGGCCGCTCTGAGCACCGGGGTGCGCACGGCAGAACGCGGGGTACGGGCACGGGAACCGCAGGTAGGGCCGCAGAACACGGGG